CATAAGTAAACAACAAGTACTTAAAACAAATATCATGCACACATTAAAAAGAGGAAAGGTTAAGACAGCAAAATACTGTAAAACAATAACTTAAGACGATATATATAAAATACATATATATACGTTTATATATACAAAATAAAATAATCGTATTACTATTGAATTTTTCGTAGGCAGAGGAATCGGCCAGTATGCAAACATGCCAACATATATGGAGTCTATTCGAAAGTTTGCTACTGATAACGGGTTTGAACTAGAGGATGTTATACCTGATGGGAACTGCATGTTCAGGGCAGTTGTGGATCAGCTAAATGTGAACGGTGACTTAGGATATACTCCTCAGTCTTTGCGGTTAAAGGCAGTAAGGTGAGCAGTACATTATAAATTACGTATTTTCTAATATAACTGGAGACGTACTTTAAAAGTGTATGTTTGTTAAAAACGACAACGATTTGGATTGGATTGTTTTTTTTACCAGTTATACGTGTTTTCGGTAATTAACAGGTGCAGACAAGATTTGTCACTAAACATCATAAAATTTAATTTTTAGTATTACTAAAATTTAAAAGCAGGATATTGAGATTAAATCTTCATTGTGTTAATATCGTATCAATGATTATACTGTAGATATTTACGACAAAATCCTTGTCAGAGTGATGGGAGTAAGTTAGAGGCATTTCTATTAACGGAGACATGGGAACAGTATCTATTAAGGATGGAACTGAATTCGCAGTGGGGTGATCACATGATACTGAAAGCCATAGCTGATGCACTAAACTTGATAGTGGTTGTTTTTAATGTCTTCAAAGACGATATTCGAAGGACAGAAATCCTACCAGAAGGTACTCCAATTACGAAACGTCAAAGACTTACAATATATCTAGGACACATTGGGGAATTCCACTACTTGAGTTTACGTGAGCGCGACTGGGAGATTTACTGGCCTTTCAGTGAGTAGAATAGAGATATACATATTTCTTATGCTTAAAAGTGAGTCGTAATAAATTTAAGTTAAAAAATATTTCTGGAATATCTTTGTACAGAGTCTTTGATAAGAAGGTATCAAGTATTCAGAAAAATGACATCACCATCCACGAGCAAAAAAGATATTCGTGAAAAGATTGAGAACATGGGGAAAGAAGATTTTTTAATGGGTGCAGAGTTGAAGATTCCACACGAAGCGGAGGCTTCAGATCAATTATCAATCTCACCCTCTAAGCCTATCGATATACTGCCTGAACAAAATAGAACGTTTGTTAGATATGGCCTAGCCCACCTCCAACTTCAGGAGAATAGTGGTATTTAAAAAATATAATTTCCATCACTGTTGAACTTGGCTTAAATCCTTATATAGGTTTTGCATTTGTATTCAATTAATTCCAATTTATGAATTTCAGAATCACTTGACTCGCTGCTTATGGACTGTCATGGAGTTGATTCTTTAACTGGACTCCCATTACCGCATTTTTCTTACGTGATAAATTTCTTATTAAAAATACAACCATTAACGTCCGTGGTACATGTTTATAAGCCGGAATTTCCTCCGGAAGAAAATATCCCTGGGTTTCATATTCAGATGAATGGTGCTTCGGTTGAGGATGTGAACATTTGCATGAAAGACGTTACCAAGGAAAAGAAAATGCAGTACTACGAGGATGTTAAATTCATAAATATCCCAACCACTACAATGTGCGACATGCTGGTAAACGTTGTTTATCTTGTTGATGCTAATACAGATAGAACACTACTGACATTGTTAGCGGATTGTGCGGATACTCATCCAGGGTATTGTAGATTAACTCCTGCATTCCCAGAAAACATGGTCTGGGCTGGCTTACTTTATCGCAGAAATTCAGAAGTGTATCTTCAAAAGACGTCTATACCGTCTGCGGTACAGAATAAGCTAAATACCTTTCAAAGTAAAAAACTGGGATATGGTTATCACTGTAATCGCTTTCCTAAGTCAGCTCGACCATGGCACTCTAAACAACGGAAATGCAAATGGCCATCTGAAGATATAATTGAAGAAATAATGTCAGGTGGTTGCATACTTGTACAAAGAGCTCACCCAAATAGCGTACTTCCAGAGGTTGAGTGGAAATTTGTGTTTTCAAATGCAGAACAAGTTCTCTTGAAGAAAGCACTATGTCAAAAACAAAAGAGTGTATTTAAAATGTTCAAAGTAACTGCAGAGTACCTTACTCGCCATCTTGAAAAAACACTCAAGCATAAGCATTTGAAAAATGTTTTCTTTTATGCCTGTGAAAACATTGAAAGAAAGGTATGGGAACAAAATATCGGGGGGTGTTTGCTGTATATTTTTGGCTATCTTTTAGATTGTTTGAAGAAACGAAACATACCACACTACTTCATACCTGAAAATAACCTTATTGATTGTTATTCTGAAAAAGAGATTCAAACAATAGCCACGTATATAGAGGCATTTCGTGTTTTACCAATTCACTGCCTGGGAAACATGTACAAAAGGCATGGTTGGAAAAATGTCTTCACGCCGAGTTTGGCGGTTTTGAAAGACTGCAAACAGTTTTCAGAGACTCGAGATATACGTCATGCATGGCTTAATGTTTTCCTTCCAGCATCTATGAAGATGGCAACGAGTATAGTTAATTTTGGATTTTACGACCAAGCATATGAATTAATATGCGAAGCGTACGAAGATCTTAAACAATCGCCACTATCAAAGACCCCTTCATTCGACCAAGTATTTCAGGACTCACTGAAATATGTTAAAACTAGTGCTTGTCGTGAAGCTCTCGTTAAACTGCACAACAAGAAATGCGGTAGAAATGTTACAAACAATAACCAGAAGTCAAAGAATCGTCAAACAATTAATATTAGTGAAGTATTGCCATTCAGTGTGGATGAACGAATAAGAGATTTTGAAATCCCAGAAACGCAATCTAAGGTTCAGACGTTGATAATAGCTTGGCTAGATTCAAAGGCATATGAATATTATATGGGTGGAAAATGTGTAATGGCAGAGGTTCTACTTCAGACAACTATAAAATACATTAAATTCCTACTGAAAGAGCAAAACGAGTTTGACGTTAGTGAAATAGAGGACAAAAGTCTTCAATCAGAAGTTTGGCAACAGAGAACAAGTCTGATTACTCTCCTTTATGAAGAATATTGGCATTTGTTAGAAGCATGTTATGGACTTGGAAGTATACGTTCCTTTGATGAACATTTGTCGGATTTAGAAAACTACCAGCACTCCGTAGAGGGATCAGACGAACTATTGGCGTCAGTACATGCATTCCCTAGAAGAATTCATCCATCATTTCATTTTACAGGTTCTAGAGATTCAAGTCTAAAATCATTGTTTTATATGTAAAGTGTATAATGATCAAGACTGCTGACAAGTAGTTAATTCTTAACTTATTTTCAAAATGGAAAAAAAAAACTAAAACATGTTACCTTAATTGTGCTTATGTCTTGAATGAATTGTACCAATGTTTTTATTGTAACATGTAGGTCTGACTTGTTTCCTCCGAACATGCATATCCAAGAGGTTTAAAAGACATGCATTCATTGTATTGCTGAAAGATGTAATTTTTGTACATGTATATTTGAAAAATTTCATTGAATATTCAACAATTTGAACTTGTATAAATTTCTAAATACTTAATGTGGCAGTATTCTACTTATAAATTCACACAAACACTTGTGCCTGTAAACATGGGCTCGATCTATAGTGATTGTTTTCGTAAAGTTTAACCAAGTATATTCGAATTTGGTAAAATAATTCTTATCACTGACCAAGAACTGAGAGTACTAGCCCTTGTTTTTCTATCTAATATTTCTATTTTGATTTTTTTTTATTATAGTTTTAATACACATTTACTCTTTTAAGGCATCTCCCTACTTTCCCTTAAGGTTGAGGGTAATTTTTTCGTGAAAGTGAAAGGAGGTATGCCAATCTAACACCTCCAAAATTTGAAGTTTCACAGTATTCAGACAAAGTTGCTACACTGTTCATAGAGTGCTGTAACACATGGTTTGAAAAGCTTTTGTAATATGTAAGCCTTAAAAATCTAAACATGTGCTGATTACACTTCATATACAGTTTTCCTGCTCTATCTTTAATTCGTACGTGCCATTTATTACACCTAGAGACCATGTATTTCTTAATTAAATTCAATTTTTGTGATATTTAAGAGAGAATGAAATCTAAAAGCCGAATTTACAAGGCGAGAAGTGTTATTGATCTTTTTCTATTGGATTAATTCAAATTCGTATTCAGCAAAGGTAGAGTTGTCATAAGTTATGTTATTGGCTTAGTTTGAAATTTTCCACTGCATTCACCCCTCTTTAAGACGCAATCCACGTTCTTATTGCCCTCAGAAGACTCTCGAATCCAAGGGTCATCTCGTCAACAATACCAAATTATGTAGCAAGAAATACATGTAGGAAAATGTACAACAGGACTGGAAATCGAACCCATAGGGACCTTTGAGTTACTAGTCAGTTGGCTCAACCACCTGGGCAATCAAAGCCGATATCCACAACCTAAACCATTTTAATACCTGATTCAATAATTTTGTTCATCAAGTTGTCGGGAATATTTTGTCTTTAAACATTTTTTCCCAGGTGGGAGATGTTAATACCATGTTTAATTGTTTAATAAATAAGATATGTCTATTAAAGATAAGCTCAATATTAAAGCATTTGTACATTTTGTTCAGTGGCTTAATTCTAAACCCCAAATTAATTCATTCTATAAAAATACAATTATTGCAAATAATTATAATGCAAATCTATAAACAGTGCCAAAGCGGTGGAAAGATATAAGAAGTGATTACTCCAACCTTCTTCTTAAACTTGGAGTTCTTCTTAAACTTGACCCCGTGGGGATCCGGGTTAGAATAGGTCTTCAATACCCCTTGCTTGTCGTAAAAGGCGACTGAATGGGGCGGTCCTTCGGATGAGACCGTATAAACCAAGGCCCCGTGTCACAGCAGGTGTGGCACGATAAAGATCCCTCCCTGCTCAAAGGCCCTAAGTGCCGAGCATAGGCCTAAATTTGCAGCCCTTCACCGGCAATGGTGACGTCTCCATATCAGTGAAATATTCTGGAGAGGGACTTTAAACAATATACAATCAATCAATCAATCTTCTTAAACTTGAAATTTAGAAAATACATTCCATATTGAGTTATCTACCTCTATTTCATGGAACCATATTTCTTGAATTTCCTAATTTAATGTTTTCGGCTTCATATCATTATTTTTATTAGACTTTGTCTTCCCAAACATTCCTTAAAGATAAATAAGTATAAATTTTGTCAATATCATTAATGTTAAATTTGTAAATAAATTTTCATTCAGTTATATGCAGTACTTTTTCAATTGTTGCTGGGTCTCGTCTATCGCAGTAGACAGAATCGACGTTGTAATGACGTTTCTTTTTAACACACATTTCAAATAAGATCCGCTTAACAAGGAATAAATACCTTCATAACATCGTCCATGTATGTGTACGTAAAATAGCGGCTTTGGTGCAGACAAGGATACGCTAATTCGTTAATACCGCCAAGAAATAATCTATTTAAGTAGAATATACGATACAAACATATGTAGTGCTAATTCATGATTACGCTAACAATTCCATATCCATTGATTGCGCTAAATTTTGAATACGCCAAATTATATACACATACAGTAGGTTCCTGGCCTTTTTAAACGAATTTTTAAACAATTTAAGATAATATGTGTGGATAAAATGAAAATATAAAGCCGAGACGAAACTATTTGGCACCATTGTCGACATTCTTGCCATCTAGCGAAAGAGAAAACTCTATCATAATGGCAAAAGTTGTGTTTCCCTTAATATTTTAAAATGCATACTATATATCTGAATTAATTTTTCCATCAAAAGGCAGTATAGATATGAAAATTAGTATGTAAAGTTATAGTTCATATAATTCGATCATTGAAGATTTTATGGAAATAAGTTATATATGTGATATTATACAGTAAGGGCATGTCTATATTTATTTCAAAACGGAAATTACATTTGTCTGGCATGGGTGTACTATAAATAGCTAGAAAAATCCCCAACTCAAAACAACAACATCACATAAAAAGAAAGCTGGGACTCTACAAAAAAGACTTAAAAATGAATCAACAGCATCGATTATTATGTTGTAAGTATCCATAAACTTATTCAGTAATGATTTTTTTTTCTATTTAGCACTAATTACATTGCCTTTATACCTTTCTATCACTTTTGAGTAAAGTGAAAGTAGATTAATATTTAAAAAAAAACAACTGATTTCCGACCGTTAGGGACAGTTTTTGACTGTTGTCAGTGTTCATATCTAACTAGGTTTGCTGTAAATGAACACATTTTATTTATAAAACTTAAAAGGCTTAACTAAGTAGACTAAAAAATGCAGAACTTTTAACGTAAAATTATGTCAGACGATGCATAAAAAGTTCTGGATTTTCTTTTAAACAATCTATGTTTCATTATTTTTGCTCGTATTGACTTTTGAATTTTCACCTATAGATGCATCTACTTGATAAGAAATATTCTTTATGAAAAGAATTCCAAGATATCTCTCTATCTTTCTCTCTCAAATATACATGCATATCAATTTTATACTTTTTGAAGATGAAAGAAAATATTCAAAAATGACTGTTTTCCTTTCATTTGTATATGGTTAGACTTAAAAGCATAATTTTACTTGCTTTAAAAGTTAAAAACAAAAGTCGTTCATATGTCAGTGGGAGATGGGGGGGGGTGCTTTCAGTTTTACAAAAACTATAGTTATAGGAATTAAGGTTAATAGTTAAGGATATCTCATCCTCAGTCAGGAATGATAACTCTAAAATTTAATTTTAAATGCATCTTTATGAAGCTTTAAAATAATTTTTATTTCATGCAACAATTTTCATTTTATTCATCTTGATATGATTCAAGATTTTTGGAAGTCTTAGAAAAGGTCTTTTAAAAAGGTGATAATTTTACCCTATAAAAGGAAAAGTATAAATACAAGATTTTCTTGAATTGAGCCTTAGATACATGTGCCAATGCTAATTAGCATGATATGAAATTAGAAGTGATTCGTGATGTCTTCCAATGATAGAAAAAGCATTTTACACTGTGTATTATATAAATATTGCATGTAGTTGAGTGTAACATTGAAAATTTTCACCCCAAGAAAACCATTGTCAACCGAGGCGCAGCCAGGTTGACAATGGCTACATTTTATGTTACACTCAACTACATGCTATATTTATTATATTATACTGAATGTTCTATACACATACATATTACAGTGAACCGTGCGCGCATAAATTCCGCGCAGTCGCTATTTTTTGTAATACCACCCGTCGTCAAGCAATGTTGACTGTTGCTACGCAGGAGGGCGTGGCTTCATTATTCAGCGGGTAGTAGTGTTTTTATCAAATGTTTCTCGACGAATCAGATTCAAGTAATTTACATGAAAGTATAATATTACATAATAACTGACGGAAATTAGAGACATAGTCTACCAAATTAGTACATGTATATAAATCATGACAGTCAATGTCTCTGAATGCCTGGATACCTATTGTTTTTTTAACTTAAAATATATTTATAAATATATATAAAAACTATAAAAACACAGAGCCTTTCTATAAAATTTATACCAATTTACAAACATTGTTGTTAGTTTTGACCATGTAAAACTTGTTAATCATTTTCAGAATAATAACTAAGTCAGGTGTTCAGAAAATACTTATAATAGCATTTGTTTGAATGCAAGAATTTCCACAAATTTCAGAACAATCCATTCATTATCATGATATCGCCATAATAAATTTTATTCGGACAACCGTAAAGTTGACGTCATATGATACACAGCATGATGGACTCAACAGAAAACAATGAATTTACACATGGTTACAGTTCCCTCCCAGCGTCTCTGCCTGAGATGCCGACTTGTCACTTCAACTCAGTAGTGCAAATGATAGAAAAGAAAAGGAACCAATCTCATTGTACATTTACTGGAATATGGAAAACTGAGCATGGAATCAAAGAAAGCCCAAGTGAAAAGGAAGAAGAAATAGAAAATAATTTTACTTTCTTTGAAGATGATTTTGATCTTGGTTTTGACAGTGCCATTATGAAAGATCATTCAAAGGTTTGGAGAGAGGAAGAGAATGAACATAACGTTAAAGAGAAACTGGAGTTTAACGACTTTGAATTAAATAACGAGAAACAGGATATGCAAGATTTAGAAATACAGGGTAGTTTTAAGTTTAGTTTTTCAGAACAAGGAAATACTACAACTGAATCTAGTTACGAGGAACTTAAAGTCGCGGAAGTTTCTGGGGGAGATGATATAAAATATACACATCCCCAGACTAGGTTTAGCTGCAAAACATATGGGGATTTTGAAAACTCTTCCTCGTGTTCTGATCTAAAATTAAACTTTAGGAGTTCGACAACAGACGGAACTCTAACAGAATCAGGGACTCAAAATATTGTAAGCCAAACAGGAAAGAATTTAGACATAAATAGAAATAAAGGATCAGATTTTGAATCGAATATATCTTTTAGCATTGACATTTCTGGCAAACATTCAGGAGAGTCAGAACCTGACAGTACCTCGAATGGTGTCCAAGGTTCCACAACAATGAAAGCTGAATCGTCAGAAGAGATCTGTGATAAAGACCCAGAGAAAATTCCACCGACTAAAAACGAACAGAATGTACGTGAAGAACTTCATAGAACTCCGTCGTCCTCAAGTCGTACTGAAAAGGACATGCAAGAAAAAGAAAAGGAAGAAACCCAGAGGTTTGTGAAAATTAACTCTCCCCCCCCCTCTCTCTCTCTCTCTCTCTCTCTCTCTCTCTCTCTCTCTCTCTGTTATACTCTACCTGCAATAAATATATTAATTTCCTTCCTGCATCATCATATTCCAGTGGGACTGAGAATACACATCACGTTAATAATATTAAGATTTTGATATGATTGATATAAAAAAGGAACTGAATTCCCTGAGAAGTATTCACACTGCCATTTATCAAAAATATTTTATTAATCCAGTTTGTTGTCGACTAAAAGTACCAACCACAGCAACAAAAAAATATTTGCAGCCCGGCGAAATCAAGGAACACAAGATGGTGATAACTATTGGAACTTTCCCGATAATTCGGTGACAAGTAAAACGCCGGACAGATCAAATTGCTTTAAAACATATGGGTCGAAAAAAGCTGGAAATAGTTGGGGTAGGAACTAGTATATTGCCATTATAATTTTTTAACAGAGAGAGATTGCATAATTTTCGTTGTTTTACAAATCTCATTCATTTTTTTAAATAGATGATTACAGTATTGAGCTATAATACAAAAAAGGTGATGCAATGTCATGTACGTGTCATGTAAATGATTACATATACAAAACACCTGCATTTTAGTTTTGTGTAATTTAAAGTTTCCGTAGCAGTTTTTATCAATTGTCAACAAATGACCGGAATGTGTTAAAAGTTGTATCGTTGCTCATGAACTACATGTATAATGAGAGGGTTTTTTGCAGGCAATTCGTACTATGACTATAATAAATTTAACAGCCTTTTTGAATACTCACCTGCAACAACGTACTTTACGTACTATACCAAAGCTATGGAGGATTTCGCTGAAGCTAATGATCTGGAGCTCCATGACGTGGAAGCAGACGGCAACTGTATGTTTCGCGCTGTTGAAGACCAGATGAGAATCAATGCCGAATTTGGACATACTGCAAAATCTCTTCGTCTGAAGGCTGTTGAGTACGCTTACTTTAAACAATAAAGAATAAGTGATTTATTGTGCTTACAGCTTTCCTGATCAAATGTGTTCTATCCATAACTTTATGTACGTAGAATGATACATTAATTTTGTATAATTACTTAATTATATAGATGATAGTTTATTTCTTCATTATGTTGAATAATATAAATAGTTACACATTACTGAATTTTAAAAATTAAATCACTCAGATGTACATGTATATATCATTTGAAGAAATACAAAAACTGCTATTATTTCTAAGGTACCTTCGACAAAATCCAGAACAGGAGGACGGTGGTCACCTTAGGGACTTCCTCTCGACCAAAGAGACCTGGGAACAATACCTGTATAGAATGCAAAGAAATTCGTCCTGGGGGGATCATTTAACTCTTACTGCCATATCTGAAGCATTTAGAAAAACCATCATTGTTTTCAATATTGGGAAAGAAATTCGTCGAACCGAAATAGTACCAAAAGTTCCGGGAAACTCGAGTGATACCCAATTGTTCCTTGGTCATATTGGTGAATATCATTATCTTAGTCTAAGACCTAAAACGTGGGAGAGAAAATGGCCTATTCGTAAGTATATGTCTTATAACATGCATATTGTTTATACAAAATATGAGTAAATCTATGATTTATTATTTAATTTATTTTAAAAAGTTTTACATATCTATAGAAATCGAATTACTTTTAATCTAGCTTTATACCGGTATTCCAACATTTATTAGTATGATTTGAAATTAGAATGATAATTGTACTTTGCAATGATAGGCAACGTATTTATATATGGCTTATTTTGAAATGAAGATTATAGAAGGATTTTATTGACCAGTATAAGAACCGTGCAATTTTCTTCAAAAGCCTAAATACTTATAACTTTTCATCCTAAAATGACACACATGCATTTATGGTGACTTTCATTCAATCGATGTGCAAAATTTCCCTCAAATTACAAAACTAATAAACTAAACTTTCCAAAAATCTAGAAGCTCAACTTTACCGTACGATGTGGAGCCAACATCAAATACTTACGAAATACATCGAGGCAAAGCTAGACATCATTGAACTGAAAAGAAAGATCACATGCTACAAAAATTGGATAATGCATGACGAAAAAATGCAGTCCATCTTAAGTTCCAACGGCGAGGGAGATATCAGTGACAATGAGACAGACCCACCTGCAGCCCAGCCCCATATTAATCTTCCACGTGCATCTACCAATGAAGAAATATCTGAAGATGAGGAAAAATTTTTAAATGAAAAACTGTCGAGCATACAGACCCTTGTTCAGGAGCTTCCAATTGGTTTTAATTACAATGGATGGATCACGCACAAAAAAGACGGTTAACAATTTCATAAACTTATAATATATTTTTATTCTGTTATTTAATGTTATGTTTCTCGGGAAAAATGAATAGTTTATTACTTAAAAATATTTTTTTTTAGCACTGTAAGGTTTAAATTGTATTATTGATACTCATTTTTCAAACGGTATTTGTCTATGTTTTTTTTTAGATAATCGTTATCGTCTAGTGGTTGACCCCTTATACATCGATCCTGAATGTGGAGTACCCCTTCCTCATCTGTCATTTATTTTGCAATTCTGGATGAAGGACACAATTCAACTTCCAGTTAATATAGCCTTTCCTGGAACATCTAAACCTGTTCCTGATAACTGCGTTGTTGAATACGCCGGGAGTTCTTGTGATGCTACCAACGCGTACCTACCAGACCGCTCCGAAAATGGAGTTTCAAAAACATCAACCAGGTTTCCTTGTGAGCCAATAAAAATTTTCTGTCGTAAGGACATTACTGTGAAGTTTACGAATAATGGAGAGACGAAAGAAAATGAAATATTTGTAGATGAAAGCGAAACACATCCAGGCTACTGCAGACTTCGTCCAAGTGCCGAAAATCATGAACTCTGGGGCAGTCAGCTTTTTTACATGGATAACGACTGTTTTATACAAGAAAGTGATCCAAATGATTCAGAAGATCTGCGTGAATACCATGGTTTTCAAAGCGACGAATGGGTTCCTTCCAGAACTGATTGGGCTACTCGCTCTCGACCCTCTATGTGGCCTTCAGATGAATTGAGAGAAAAAATCCAAAAAGCCGGGGTAATCTTCATTCACCGTCCCCACAAGTCTAGTCAGGAACCAACTGTGGAGTGGCAAATCATTTTCTCTAAAGCAGAGAAGGAAATTTTCCTCAATGTATTAACCACATGTCAAAAACAGAATTACAATATTTTTAAAGTTCTGGTTGATTTTCAGACGAAGCATTGTAAATTTCGTCTCTCTCCTTCGCACATTAAAACTGTGTTTCTGCATGCTATGGAAAGTATCCCACTCCCAAGCTGGGATAACAATACCGGCGGTTGCTTACTTTACTTGTTACATCTCCTGTCTACTTTCTTAGGCAAAGCAAACCTTCCACACTATTTCATCTCCGAAAACAACATGATAGACCACGTTCCTGAAGAATCCGTTAAAGAACTTAAGCTTCAAGTTGATACAATTAAGCACTTTCCAATTGAAGTTTTGGAATTTTGCTTTGAAAAATATGGCATTATCGGAACTGGTCTTTCAAAAGTCTTAGACGATTTCGAAAGGTACAGATTAAGTCGTGATATATCCTGGACGGTAGAGTATGTATTCTTGGATGTTGTTCAGATGTGGACTTCAAACTGTAGAGATCATTATAATTTCAATAGAGCATTAGATTTGATCTATCAAGCATATCTAGTGCATCAGCACATGGTTCAGCCCATCAGCACTTCAGATACTTCTAATTTACAGACTTTTGTCTCAAAAGCTCTCGAAAGCTGGCCGGAGGTTGAAAGGTATAAATTATGCAGAATGTTTGACGACTTATATGATACGAAGCTGAGCAGTATGGGCATAACAGAGAATACGGTTTTCATTAAGAGTCTTCTTGAGGAAGAATTAAAGTCCGAATTTTGCGACATGCCAATTCCCATACATTCAGTAGGTCACAAAGTCTACGAAGGGAAATTACTGGAAGATATTGCGACAACCTGCAATTTCTTGAAAAGAGACGAAGAATCGTTGGTGTTTATAAAAACAGCAATTTCCCTTTTAAAGAAAGCGCTACAGGAGGATATTCTGGACGTTAGCCAGGTAGAAGACGCTACCTTAAAACTCGAAATAGGCAAGAAGAATTACAAACTTACAACCTCCTTAAACAACTCACTTGCTAGCTGCTACCAAAAGCTGAGTACCTGTTGCGTTGCTTCACAACAACAAGAATTGATGCATCAGTATATGTCTGATATTGAAGCCCTAGCTGAACGAATGCCAAAAATGGTCTCTTTCGTGGAGAAGATGTGGACTCAACTTGGACAAGCAGAAAAGGGAAGAGAGTTCAAGAGGAAACATGGTGGATTCCAGAGAAACAATTGGTGTCAAAATAATATTTATGATGACGATATAGACTAAGGATAGAGATAAATAGCTTTAAGGAGGCTGGGGGGTCAACAAATTAACCAGCAGATTTAACTTATTTTTTTAGATATGGTATCTTAAGGTTGGTCCATACTTTCAGAATTTTCTGTCAAACTCTTTATTTTTTGATTTGAAAATGTTGAATAAGTCATAATCTAACTAAAACATCCATAAAAAACATATCTTTGCAGGTTAATTTTCATGCAACACTCGGAGTATATTTAAAAATGCAACAGCAAAAATTCAACATATAGAAGTGTAACATCATATTTTATTTAGCTATGTACCAAATCACATCCAATTATTGTTAAAACTTAAGAAAATCATAAATATTCATTTGTCAAGAAAATATTTGAAATTTCTATTTGAAAACATGGTAAAGCTCAAAATAAAAATATTTTCAAAATCTTATATGTTTATATGCTATTTTTTCTTAAATTATTTAGAGTTACATTTTTGCAAAAAAACATACTTTATTATGACCAGAAAATTTTTACAAAACAGCCTTTTTATATTTTTGGAGCTCGCAAAACTTTTTAAAAAGTAAATTTAAAAAGATGATATAGGCTAAAAATTAAAGATAAATAGATCTCAGGTTAGTTTGTTTAAAAAAATGAAAAAGCTTTAGGTCCATAAAGGCAATTAAGAATTCTCTGTCTGTGTATATACTAAATTACATATAGATCCTATGGACAGAGTGCAAAGTGGTTATTCTTATAAATAATGTACATTAAATGCTTTGTGTGCACAATGACCTATAATAAACAAATATATAGAAATTATTTTTAATCAAAAAATTTTTTTTTCAATAGATAAGGATAATCAAAATTTTATATTAAAACATTAAAAGTGTCTGCCAAGCTGTCAACTATTTATGGCAAAGAAAAAATTCATACATTTTTTTTTAAAATTTGATCATTTTTGTATATCTTTATAAGCTCTTCTTTTTCATGAAAATGGCTGCCACCCCCAGCCTCTTTAAAGGAAATTACAGCACTTTTGGTTACATCCCTAAGAAAAAACATGAAACATGTATATTACATTTTCTCAATGTATATGAGGCGTCATTTTTTTTTCAAGTCCTATAAATTCTTTTTCAATGTGATAAATCTTTTGATGAGCTTTTTCCCAGGCTAAGTACTATTTATTTTTAAATATAAAATCGTCTTGTCGTGTCATTGGAAACTATAATGAGTTCATCAATGTATATATAGAATCGTACATTTGAAACTTCTTGTCATTGCCTTGTTTTATGGTCTCAGATCTTGTTCAAAGTTAGACAACTCATACATGCAATGCAAGTACCTACAATTTGTATTTGGAATGAATATCATTCTTAACATACATGTACTAGTATATGGTTAGAATAAAATAATTAATGAAAGTGGTTTATCGTGCATGGTCAAGTTAAAGTGCATTTTTGTACAATTTTCTCAATTTTTCGTATTTTTAAAGGATGTTTTTTTAAAAAGAAAAGCAGAATTTTTGCTAATATCAACAAGTATGTTAAATATTTTCCTTTCAAAAAATTCACTTAATAAATTTCTAGTTTCTTGATGGAATATTCATTTAAAACTTCTAAGAAAAATAAGGAAAAAGCAATTTTTATGTATTTCCATAAATAAATGCATGACAATTTATATAAGGAACATCATATAAATTCACAAAATTATCAAGTGTTATATGTTAATCATCAATTGAAAAGGAAGCAAAATAAAAAAAGGAAATCAATGTTTATTTCTTCTACAGATCCTCTTCCCCTTTTACTTGCATTAATTTGTACTTGCCATATTTATAAATATTGATGAATATTTTGAAAGAATCATTTAAATTGAATTTCATTTTCAAGAAGTTGGGGTTTTTTTTTTCTTTCATGCAAGACTAAAATGGAAACACTTAAAACGTGTTTAATTAGTAAGGGGCAGAAGGAAGTTTTAAAAAAATCATTGCTCAAAATAGTTTAATCTTTTTTATAATGATTTTTATAAATATTCATGTTCCATTTTTAACGAAGGAAACCCACTCTTATACATGCAGTAATTGAAAATTTTCATTGAGAAAATAAAAAATTTCCACCTTAAAAGTAAATAAGTTTACATCTGAATCTTGCTTAGGACTAAATAACTTCAGAAATCTACGTTCCTAATACATATACTGAACATTATTATATGCGCGGAAAATATAAATAGAGAGAGAGGGAGATGTGATTACATGTACTTGTTTTTTATGGGGGGTTGGGGGTTGGTTATTGACAAATGATCAGAAACAAGTTTTCTTTAATCAATCGGATTTATTTACGAATGTCATTTTGACCCACACGTTGTTTTCCTGTGAATGAAACGTGGTTAAACATGCATTATTTTGGGCAATAAGCACTATAGTGTAACAGATGGGAAACATCTAATATTAAAAAGAGAAAAAAAGGTATTTTTGTAGTTCACACAACTATGACAGATGTGTGATGGACAATACCGATTGCCATAGATTCACTTTCATTGCAAAAATAAGTAAATAAATGTAATTTGTTGGCAATCTGCTGGGGTCCCGCGAGTGGTTAGCCATTATCCAGAGACAGAATGAAGGCCAGAAAATCGATGAACATTCAGATTGGCGATTGCTGATGATAAACAAATTATCATCGATTAAAATAACAACCACATTACCTGGTAATTACAATGGCCCCGTCTTATTTCAATATTTGACATTAGCTAATGTACAATGAAGACACCATATTTCGCTGTAGTATGCGGGAGTCATTATTAGGGATATAATGGTCCCTGTCATGTTTTCATCAGTTACCATGACCCAGAAAAACTGTCGTCGGTTTTTTCATTAATTAAGTAAAAATGTTCGGTAATAGAATTCTAACAATGCAGACATCAATACGTTTGTTCTGTCAAGGTAAATATTGGATTCATTTCCGAAAACTACAATATATATGCTGGAAACGTTTTTATAAACATCAAAATAACCATGGTTACTGCAATACGCTTGGAGGCTTTAAGCTTTTATACCAATTACTAAGCACCTAGAACATGGTAACCGAGATTTAAAAATATGTTTTTTTACGAGGGATCAATTTTCTTTTCTTAAATTTCAAGAATAGAATGCCGACAATCTTGTGAAGTTCGGAATGATTAGCAATCTTTTATAATCTGATGTACATTGAATATTGTTAGTAGTCTGGTCCGATTTATAGAAAAAAAAATACTTCTAACGGCAAATAATTATTATTTGGTCCAGCATAGTTTTTTAACCTATTTCGAGTATGCTAAATCCAAAAAAATATGCTGGCCTTCATGAAAATGACATTAAAGAGGTCAATATGTCGACTCAAAATGGCGGACGTCAAATTTTTCTAATTTTCTCTTAATATCAATCAAAAAGGAGAAATAATGTGTGAATATCTCATTGAGTGTAATACAAGTATAAAAATTATAAGAAAATGCCAACATTATTAGTTTAACTCTAAAAAATTAGTCGTCTCTACACTTAATTCGATTTTTCTCTAATTTTTTGTTCTATTGTTGTATATTCCGCTTTGTTCAGGATTTTACATTTGCAAATATCCATACACTGCAGATTTGTATTTTTTCCTCTGCATCTCGCTATTCTACAACTGAATGATGGCGCAGATGTAAGTTAAAAGTCAAAATGGCGATTCAAAATTGCGGATATTCATCTTTTTCTCCAAATTATTTAATTCTTAATATCGTTTTCATAGGAGAATGGATTTGTAAATATCTTACTGAGCGTAGTACAACTATGTAAAATACCAACAGAACACTAGTTTAATCACTTTAAATCGGAAAATTTAGTCGTTTATATTTGAAATGTGTAAATTAGCTCAAAATGGCGATTCAAAATGACGTCTGATACACTTGAATTTCGTAGAAACTGTTTAATTCTAGTTCGTTTTGCAGAAAATAAATTACAGTTTGTTTTTTTTTAAATATATATATAGTATATTGATTAGTCCATAATATATGAACAAAAAATACTTGAAAAGATTCATTTTTTTTCTGGAAATAGTTAAAACAAACCTGATTTAAGAGTTTCCAAATTCCCCCCTTCGTGTCGGATCAAAAAGTAAAATAGCTGGTCATAATGGCAATATGTAATAAAGATTCTGTGAAAGTTTCATCAAATTTCATTCAGTGGTATTAGAGGAGTTGCGGATAAGAGATGGGTACCCCAAAGCGTAACAGACGGACGGACGGACATACTGATTACTCTATACCCTCCCGCTTTTCAAGCGGGGGTATAAAAAAAAATCTCGGATATTCAAGACATGCATGTAGCTCGTTATTTTGTGACCTCGTATAGATATGTTGTCTTTATGGGTAGAAAGGTCATTCTTTTAGCAAGAAAATTCTCAAACTTGATCATCTTATGTGCATATTTTGGTAAGAAAAGTTGTAAAATTATGCAATTTAAGAGCGCCTGCAGATTCCTCGTAATCCCTATCACTTACAAGCTATCGTACCAATAAGCCTAAGCCATTCCTGATTTCGATCTAGTCAACACTTCTCTTGACAACAAAATTTTCTTGAACACTTCAAGAACGTTACAAGGCAACTTGATCCACACTTCTTTGTTAGGATAGTGTAAGGTTGTATCAAGAATCGAGGGGGGATTGAACACAAACATTTTCTTCTTTCAGATTTCGTAAATTTCAAAATTTTTAAATTTAAATACACTGTTCAATGCAAAATTATCCGTTCATAGCATGAAATATTTGAGAATGCAGTTGAATTTTTGACTGACAATAACAAAATGCAAATGTAGGGACACAGAATCAGAGCTGGACTCTCAAGAAAATTTATGGTCTACGTATATTATACTGATAATTCTTAATATATATGTTAATATTTGGATATTATAATATATTCAGATTTATATAATGTAACAATTACTAGCCCTATAATTGATCGTGGTCAATCATTTTAAAAATCATACTAAGTTATGTTGCACTAGACCTTCCACATGAACATAAACATTTATTCTTTTTCCTACACT